TACAACTATTTATATATAACTTACCTGGATTAATGAGATCAATTATCAAGTTAGAGTTTACCAATTATCTATCAAATTGAATATATCCATCAGTTAAATACGATTAAAGGTTATGGTTTGTTTTTAGAAGAAAAAAATCAACATCCCTTATATATTAATTAGAGAGTTATTTTTTGAAAAGAGCTTATGTGTCTTCACCAAATTCATTCTCATAATTTTAATGTGACATGACATTGTGAAATTAATTCTAAAATTCATATTATTAATAAAAATGATATTATTGACCAAAATAAATGATATAATAAAATCAAACAACTACATATTTCACATTTTTAAAAATTAAAATTAAAAACAAAACTACATAAATAATTTACCTTCGTATACGCGCGAAAATCACCTAGTTGATATATATATGAATAAAATATAAATTTTATCAGCTAAAGTCATAAAAATATTTAACAGGAATTAATTATTTAAAACATATGATAAGATATACTCAAAAAACTTGATATGATATATCATTTGATAAATAAAAAAAAAGAATTTACACCACCAATATTAACAGTTTTATTATATACCAAATTCCATAGATGTAGACTTTTTTTTTTTACCGCTGAAAAAATCCTTTATTAAAAACCAGAACCCGATATAAAGAAAATAACAATGTTTCAAAGGACACCAATATGTGTTTACATAAAAGGAAAGACAAGTTTCAAGGTGTGAAGAGCAAAACCTCTCTACGACCATAAGGTGAGGATTCTCACCAGAAATGAATGACAATACTTGTTGATTAAGAGCTCTCATGTCCATTTGTACTCTGCAACCAAGAGAGCTTGAAGCCAAAATGGACCGTCACGGGCGATGTACGATTGATATCGATGATTTCGCAAGACGCTTGTTGCAATAGACTCAGCAATTCGATGTAGACTTTATAACTTAAGAAAGAACACTCAACATCTAAACCTAAATTTTACACATGATTTTTTTAAATTTTGCAAAGAAGGAAAAGAAAAACAGCAACAATGAAACTATTAGCACGCGTTGTAAATCTTATACCAGAATACGATAAGATACAAATACACAATACGTAAAAAATATGCGAAAAATTAATTTAAACGAGCATAAAAATGCATATAAAAGTAAGAGAACTAACATCACATCATAAATTTGGCTACGAAGAAGTTGTATAAAGAAAAACACACAAGAACAAAGAACTAATAAGAAAAAATTTGATTAATTAGAATATTTAAGATAAGAGATCAGTAAATCACCAAAATACCAAAGGGAAAATCCTGAAAAATTCTCAATCTTAATTATATTGGCCGAAAAAATATCCAAACTTTTTTAGATATCCGATTAATACCTAGACCATTTAACGTTGGTTTTTAGTACACAAATTTTTTAAATGTTTTGGTTTTATTACATCACCCTTAACGGGGTTAACCTGATTAACGGAAATTTGTAAATGGTGTTAAATTTTTATTAACACGTGTTATCTAGTACCTATATTAATAGATTATT